AGAAGCCTACAGAACACCAAATAGAGTGGACCACAAAAAAAATTCCCCTCGCCACATAATAATCAAGACCCCAAACATACAGAATAAAGAAAGAATATTAAGAGCAGCTAAGGAAAAAGGTCAAGTAACATATAAAGGCAGACCTATCAGAATTACACCTGATTTCTCCATGGAAACTCTGAAAGCCAGAAGGTCCTGGATAGATATTCTACCTACACTAAGAGACCACGGATGCCAGCCCAGACTACTATACCCGGCAAAGCTCTCAATCACTATAGACGGAGAAAACAAGATATTCCATGACAAAGCTAGATTCAAGCAATATGTGTCCACTAACCCAGCCCTACAGAAAATTTTGGAAGGAAAACTCCAACCCAAGGAAGCTAACTACAACCAGAAAAACATAAGCATTAGAGAATCCCTCTCTACCAACAGCCAAAAGAACAAAGGGGTGAAATTCCACCCATAATTCCACCAACAACAACCATCACAAATGGATGAAGGATGAGCAATCAATGGCCATTAATATCCCTCAATATTAACGGCCTTAACTCACCCATAAAAAGACACAGACTAGCAGAATGGATTCGAAGACAGAACCCTTCCTTCTGCTGCATACAAGAAACACACCTCACCCTCAAAGACAGACATTACCTGAGAGTTAAAGGTTGGGAAAAATTTTTTCAATCAAATGGACCCAAGAAACAAGCAGGGGTAGCAATCCTAATATCTAACAAACTAGACTTTAAAATAAAATCAATCAAAAGAGATGAAGGAGGTCATTACATACTCATCACAGGTGAAACCCACCAAGATGAAGTGTCTATCCTGAACATCTATGCCCCCAATACAAAGGCATCCACATTCGTTAAAGAAACATTATTAGAACTTAAATCTCATCTAAAGCCCCACACAGTTATAGTGGGAGATTTCAACACACCACTCTCACCACTAGACAAGAATACCAGACAGAAACTCAACAAAGAAGCAAAGGGTCTAATAGAAGTAATGACCCAACTGGGATTAACAGATATCTATAGAACATTTCATCCACATAAAAAAGAATATACCTTCTTCTCACCACCACATGGAACCTTCTCAAAAATCGAACACATACTTGGCAACATATCAAACCTCAGCAGCTACAAAAAAATTGGAATAACTCCATGTATCTTATCAGACCACCATGCCTTAAAATTAGAATTCAACAACAACACAAACTGCAGAAAACCTACAAACTCATGGAAATTGAATAATGCTCAACTGCACCATCCCTGGGTCAAAGAGGAAATAAAAAAAGAAATTAAAGAATTCCTCAAATTCAATGAGAATGAAGACACAACACACCCAAACCTATGGGACACTTTGAGAGCAGTGCTACGGGGGAAGCTCATAGCACTAAGTGCTCACATGAAGAAACAGGAAAACAGTTATACCAGAGAATTAACATCACAGCTAAAAGCTCTAGAACACAAAGAAGCAAACTCCCCCAGGAGGAGTAGACGCCAGGAAATAATCAAATTGAGGGCTGAAATCAATAAAGTAGAAACCAGGAAAACAATACAAAGAATCAATGCAACGAAGAGTTGGTTCTTTGAGAAAATCAACAAGATAGACAAACCTTTGTCCAAACTTACCAAACAGCAGAGAGTGAACATGCAAATTACCAAAATCAGAAATGAAAAGGGGGACATAACAACAGACTCTGAGGAAATCCAGAGAATCATTAGGTCATACTTTGAAAACCTGTACTCCACAAAATTCGAAAATTTAAAGGAAATGGATGACTTCCTGGACAGCTATCAATTGCCAAAACTAAATCAAGAACAGATAAGCAATTTAAATAGACCTATAACCCCTATGGAAATAGAAGCTGTCATCAAAAGTCTCCCAACCAAAAAAAGTCCAGGTCCAGATGGCCTCAGTGCAGAATTCTACCACAAATTCAAAGAACAGCTTATACCAATTCTTCTCAAAGTGTTCCACACAATAGAAGCAGAAGGGTCTTTGCCAAACTCTTTCTATGAGGCTTCAATAACCTTGATCCCCAAGCCACACAAAGATACAACCAAGAAAGAGAACTTCAGACCAATATCCCTCATGAACATTGATGCAAAAATACTCAATAAAATACTGGCAAATCGGATCCAAGAACACATCAAAACAATCATTCACCACGATCAAGTAGGTTTCATCCCAGGGATGCAGGGATGGTTCAACATACGAAAATCCATCAACGTAATCCACCATATAAACAAGCTGAAAAACAAAAATCACATGATCATCTCACTAGATGCTGAAAAAGCCTTTGACAAAATCCAACACCCCTTCATGATAAAGGTCTTGGAGAGATCTGGGATAACAGGGACATACTTAAACATAATAAAAGCTATATACAGTAAACCAACAGCCAACATCAAACTAAATGGACAGAAACTCAACGCAATTCCTCTAAAATCAGGAACAAAACAAGGCTGTCCACTCTCTCCATACCTTTTCAACATGGTACTTGAAGTTCTAGCTATTGCCATACGACAACAAAGGGGGATCAAGGGGATACAAATTGGGAAGGAAGAGGTCAAACTTTCACTGTTTGCAGACGATATGATAGTTTACATCAATGACCCAAAGAATTCTACCAGGGAACTCTTACAGCTGATTAACACCTTCAGCAAAGTGGCAGGCTACAAGATCAACTCAAGAAAGTCAGTCGCCCTATTATATACAGATGATAAAAGGGCTGAAAGAGAAATCAGAGAAACATCACCCTTTACAATTGCCACGAACAACATAAAATACCTTGGGGTAACGCTAACCAAACAAGTGAAAGACCTGTATCATAAGAACTTTGAATCTCTAAAGAAAGAAATTAAAGAAGCCCTCAGAAAATGGAAAGATCTCCCATGCTCTTGGATAGGTAGGATCAATGTAGTAAAAATGGCAATCCTGCCAAAAGCAATCTACAGATTCAATGCTATCCCCATTAAAATCCCAGTACAATTCTTCACAGACCTTGAAAGAACAATAATCAATTTTGTATGGAAAAACAAAAGACCCAGGATAGCCAAAACAACCCTGTTCAACAAGGCAACGTCCGGAGGCATCACCATCCCTGACCTCAAGCTCTATTATAGAGCTATAGTCCTGAAAACAGCTTGGTAGTGGCACAAAAATAGACAGGTAGACCAATGGAATCGAATTGAAAATCCGGGTATTAACCCACACACATACGAACATCTGATCTTTGACAAAGAAGCTAAAAATATACAATGGAATAAAGAAAGCATCTTCAACAAATGGTGCTGGCATAATTGGAGACTGGCATGTAGAAGAATTCGGATCGATCCATGTTTATCGCCATGCACAAAACTTAAGTCCAAATGGATCAAAGACCTCAACATAACTCCAGCCACACTGAACCTCATAGAAGAGAAAGTGGGTGGTACCCTTGAACGAATTGGTACAGGAGACAGCTTCCTGAACATAACACCAGTAGCACAGACAGTGAGATCAACAATTAATAAATGGGACCTACTGAAACTGAGAAGCTTCTGTAAGGCAAAGGACACAGTCAGTAAGACAAAAAGGCAGCCCACAGAATGGGAAAAAATATTCACTAATCCCACATCTTACAGAGGGTTGATCTCCAAAATTTACAAAGAACTCAAGAAGCAAGTCTCCAAAACAGCAAAGGACCCAATTAAAAAGTGGGCTGCAGAACTAAATAGAGAGTTTTCAATAGAGGAGTCTAAAATGGCTGAGAGGCACTTGAGAAAGTGCTCAACATCCTTAGCCATCCGGGAAATGCAAATCAAAACAACTCTGAGATACCATCTCACTCCTGTCAGAATGGCTAAAATCAAAAACACCAATGACAATTTATGCTGGAGAGGATGTGGTGAAAGGGGGACACTCCTCCATTGCTGGTGGGAGTGCCAACTGGTTCAGCCACTTTGGAAAGCAGTATGGAGATTCCTCAGAAAAATGGGAATAAACCTACCACAAGACCCAGCAACTCCACTCTTAGGCATATACCCAAAAGATGCCCATTCATACAACAAAGATGTCTGTTCCACTATGTTCATAGCAGCTTTATTTGTAATAGCCAGAACTTGGAAGCAACCTAGATGTCCCTCACCCGAAGCGTGGATAGAGAAAATGTGGTACATCTACACAATGGAGTACTATTCAGCAGAAAAAAAATAATGGAATCCTGAGATTTGCAGGCAAATGGATGACACTAGAAGAAACCATCCTGAGTGAGGTAACCCAGTCACAAAAAGAGAAACATGGCATGTACTCTCTCACATATGGATTTTAGACATAGATCTGGGGAGTGCCAGCCTACAATCCTATGGCCAGACAGTCTGGGAAACAGAAACTACATTTAGTGGCTGGTTTTACCCCCAGAAACAGCTGACCAGACAAAGGTTAACTCTTGAATCCCAGGCATCAGCCTGGGAATCCAGCATGGGACTGATCAAGACCCCCCTGAATCTGGGTGTCAGTGAGGAGGCCTAGGGAATCTATTGAGCCTTGGGCAGCAGATCAGTACCCATCCCAAGTATACACACGGACTTTGGACTCCCATAGAACAATGTGAGGTGCACTCTCACCCTGAACTCTTGGGGAAGGGTCTAGGCCCTGCCCTATATGAAATGACAGACTATGGACACCCCCATGGAGGGCCTCACCCTCCCTGGGGGAACGAGGGGATAATGGGGGGGGGATGGGGGAGGGCATGGGAGGAGGGGAGGGAAAGGGAGAGGGACCTGGAACTGACTTGTGAAGCAACCTTGTTTCTTATCTAAATTAAAAAAAAAAGAATAATAAAAAAAAATAAAAGTCATTTCCTAATGCACTTGAATATGACCCATCCTAGGCAGGATCTAGTTTGCACTGGTGAAAAGAGAACTAATTAGAATATTTTAAACAAACTCCTCAGCAAAAGTCCAGCCTCCTCATCTGACCACAAGATTCCTTGACAAAGGGGAGAATAAGATAAGTGATGCACTTCCTCTTTCGACAGTGCTGAGAATGTTCCAGACTGGGCGAGAAGCAACGATTCATCATCTCTGGGGTGAGTAGTTTTTAGATTAACAACTGGCCATAGAAAATAGGAAAAGTTTTCCTTGTGGTTTGGGGTCAGGGAAAACTGTTTTAGGTGCAAACTTCTGCAAGGAGACCCTCCTAACCATCCACTTTATCCTTTGAAGGGCATTCGTTTATCTCAAGTTCATTTTGCACATTGCTTGACCAAGGAATTTGTGCATTTCTGTGGTAGGAATAGACCAACAGAGTTGATCAGCACACTTACTGTATGTGGCTAATTGTGTGTGCAGAAGTTTAAAATGGACCATATGATAAATCTTTTTCTCTTAGTTTTGAAATTATAGTATAATTATGTAATTTCTCCCTTCACTTTCCTCTCTCTGATCCTTATGACATACCCTTCCTTGCTCTATTTTCAATTCATGGCTTCTCTATTAATTGTTATTAAATGCATATATATGTATATATTTCTGTATGTATGTATATGTATTGCTGTGTGCACATATATTCTTTATTTGTGTTCTAATCCTAGATTATTCAACACATTCCTTTCACTCTATACAAGTACAAACACAACCTTATCTAAAATGCTACAAAGTTATAAAACTCAAAACAAATTTTACAGTACAATAAAAGCAAAAAGAGGCAATGTATACATTGCCAAGGCTAACATGCAACATCATCATGAATGGCAGGATCATCATGAATGGCAGGCGATAACGGGGGTGGTGGTAGGTTCCATGAGGCCCCGTAGAACTAACTGGCTCACCGATTTCAGAGAGTAACAGAGACATGGGGACAGGGAAAGATACATGGTCAGACCTAACAACACAGCCACTTGGTACCCTGTCTGCAGATGTGACACAGCAACAGCAAGGGCGTGACCGGGCCATCTGACTGGTCCTCAGTCATCTGTGGAAAATGGTGTGATGCATTATGGAGGTTCGCTTGGTGCACATATATTCATAAATTCAACCTTCTCAGTTTGTACAATGTTACTGGGATGCATGTCTTCAGTCCTGATAATTTGATACTAAGTAGTCAACTGGTGTGCTTTTCCCTGTAGAAGACAATTTGTTCAACCCTCAGCATTTCTTAGATTCCAGTAGTATTTTGTATGTGGTTGAGGCCCCATGGTCTTTCTTCCAGACTTTAACAAATCTATTGTGTTCTTGTTCAGCTTATGTTTAGACAGTCTTGTTGGTAAGAATTTATGGTGTAGCCTCAGGCATCATTAGGAGATCCAGTCTCACAGAATGTTGACTGACCCTCTGGGTCCCTGAGCTAAAGTATATGGTGCCTTCAGCAGTAGGAGCTGTCCTACCACCTCCAGGGAGCAGTCAAAATAAACAACAATATCTGAATGTTTTAAACTCTTATTGAACAATCATGACCAAATACTTTCTTCCCCCTCTTCCTCAATGACTTCTCAGCCTTAGGTGTGGGAGTGTTTTGGAGATGCATCCCTTGGGACTCCCCACATCTGCATTTTGATTAGTTGTGGTTTTCTGCAGTGGTCTTCATCTATTGCAAAAAGACATTCCTTTCATGAGCAGTGAGGACTACACTTGTCTGTGCCTAAAAGGACATTTATTTGCAATATATTTAGTGATTATATTTGCTTAGTAAAATGGTGATTATTGGTTCTCATCCAAGATCCATAACTTAACTAGCCCTAGGTAGTTGACTAGGCTTGGTATCCGGCATGGTTTCCCTCATGTTGAGTGGGTTAAGTATTGCTATTACTGCACTCTAACAGTTATTATGCCAGGCTGATAACTGCTGTGGTTCATGGGTGTCATAGCTGGGCAGGACTGTTGGTGCCTTCCTCTTTCGGAAACTTGCATAGTGCCTTCTGGACCATGGCAACTATACTTCAGGGAGATAACATTAAGAAGCGCTACCAGGATTTTCTTGGGTCCTTGCTCTGAAGTACATAGTACCTTCAGCAGTAGGAATGGTCCTTCCACCTCCAGGGATCAGTCAAGGTAAACAGCAATAGTCTGAATGTTTTAAACTCTTACTGAACAATCATGACCAAATACTCAAAAAGGACAGGCTCTCATGACTGATGTTTGTGGTGACTCTTCTTTGGGTTTTATAGCAGGCAAGCAGAAAAAAAAGGTTCTGTGAAGATTGAGGAATGAAACTTGGCTCAGTCAGATTTTAGTGTAACAATCCTTGCTGGACCAGGACTTCTAGAGTCTGATCCAGATCAGTTTATTTCACCATATTTAAACATAGCACAATTAAAATTTTTTAAAAATTATTTTTATTTAAATTAGAAACAAGCTTGCTTCACATGCCAGTCCCGGATCCCTCCCCTCCCCTCCTCCCCTGCCCCTCACCAACCTCCACAACCCCCTACCCAATCCCTGATCCACTCTCCAGGAAGGGTGAGGTCCTTCATGGGAGATCTCCAAGGTCTATCATATCATTTGGGGCAGGGCCTAGGCCCTCCCCCAAGTGTCCAGGCTGAGAGAGCATCCCTCCATGTGGAATGGGCTCCCAAAGTCCATTCAGATGCTAGGGATAAATACTGATCTAGTACCCAAGGCCCCAAAGATTGCCGATGCCTCCTCACTAACACCCATGTTCAGGGGGTCTGGAACAGTCACCTCTAATCCATCAGTCTGGGGTTCACAATCTCCCCCTTGTTCAGGTGAGCTGTTTCTGTGGGTTTCACCCACCCAGTCTTGACCCCTTTGCTCATCACTCCTCCCTTTCTGCAATTGGTTTCCAGGAATTCAGTTCATTGTTTAGCTGTTGGTGTCTGCCTCTGCTTCCATCAGCCACTGGATGAAGGCTCTAGGATAGCATATAAGGTAGTCATCAATCTCATTATCAGGGAAGGGCATTTAAGGTAGCCTCTCCACTTTTGCTTAGATTGCCACTCGGTGTCATCCTTGTAGGCCTCTGGAAATCTCACTAGTGCCAGATCTCTCCTCAAATCTATAATGACTCCCTCTATTATGGTATCTCTCATCTTGCTCTCCTCTGTTCTTCCCCCAACTCAACTTTCCTGCTTCCCCATGTCCTCTTCTCCCCTCCTCTTCTCCCCCTCACTTTTCCCCATCTCCCTGTCCCTTCCCTCATGCTCCCAGTCCACTCAGGAGATCCTGTCCCATTCCCCTTCTCTGGGGTACCATGCATATCTCTCTTAGGGTCTTCCCTCTTTACCAGACTCTCTGGTGGTGGAATTGTAGGCTGGCACTTCCCTGATCCATGTCTAAAATCCATATATGAGTGAGTACATACCATGTTTGTCTTTTTGTGACTGGGTTACCTCACTCAAGATGGTTTCTTCTAGTGCCATCCATTTGCCTGGGAATTTCAAGATTCCACTTTTTTTTTCCCTGCTGAGTAGAACTCCATTGTGTAAATGTACCACATTTTCTTTATCCACTCTTCAGTTGAGGGGCATCTAGGTTGCTTCCAAGTTCTGGTTATTACAAATAATGCTAACATAGCACAATTTTGAAAAAGTATTCATATAACAAATAACTCATTCCCAAATGCACATGATTACACTGAGATTCCTTTAAAAAGTTCACCTGGCTTCTTTCATAAGCATGGGTACTGCCAACTCAGAGATAGTGCCCAAGATTTAGGGTCTAGGGAGTTTGACTGAGGTAAGCAGTCAGGATTGGCCTGGCCCTGAGATAACATAGAAGCCACTTAGGCTATTATGAAGGACAAGTGACCCCATTCATAAGGGTGGGCTTTATGGTCTAAAAGCAATGCTCAAGATTTGGGGGAAAATATCTTAGACAAGCAAAAACAAATTCCAAGAGATATGGCAGATTCTGTCTCATCAGACAGCAAAGGATCGCTAGGTTGTAAAGAGGACATCGTTCCTGGCATTCCAGGAAGAGCAGCCTAGTACCTCATTCTTTTGAAGAGGTGGGCTGTGTGTTTAACTTTCCTGGCTTCTCCAGTGGTCATTTATGTGCACAAGGTTCTTTGCTTTTTACAGGTGTTTGGGAGATCCTGGATTTCCTCTAGCTTTTGGATCATAATTAGCACAGATTGGAAATTTTCATTGAAACTAGATATGTATAATTATATACAAACTTATTTAGTGAGGAATTTTTAGGTAAGAATTTAACAGTATGATTTATTATGAAATTTTCAGACTTCCCTACTGTAATTTTTTCCTTGTCCCTCCTTGTGTTTTTATAACCATTCTCTTCCCAATTAGAAACCAACCCCCATTTTGCCACTTTTCTAGTAAGGTGATTCGCACCCTGCTATTCCCTTCTCCATCACTCTCTAGCAATAGTTGCTTTTGAATTTCTTGATTCCTGCAATTACTCCAGGGTGTGTACTCTGAAGATTTGGAGATAGGAGCCTTCAATGATACTGAACATGGGAGGATTCTCTTTTCAGGTGTGGGTTATTTCACACAATAACTATTTCCTAGTTATTGTGAATAAAGAAACAATGAATGGAGCTGAGCACGTATCTTTGTAGTCAGATGTCAAGTCCTCTGGGAAAATGTAGTATAGCTGGGTTGTACAGTAGAGTTATTTTTATCCTTTTGAGAGTTCTTGATACTGATTTCCTTAATGTTTGTACCAGTTTAGAACAGGCATTGGCTGGTTTTGTGTGTCAACTTGACACAAGCTAGACTCATCAGAGAGAAATGGGCCTCAGTTAAGGAAATGCCTCCATGAGATCCAGCTGCAAGGCATTTTTTCAATTAGTGATCAATGCGGGAGGGCCCAGTCTGTGGTGGGTGGTGCCATCCCTGAGCTGGTGGTCCTGGGTTCTTTAAGAAGGCAGGCTGAGCAAGCCATGGGGAGCAAACCTGTGCGCAGCTCCTCCCCTGTCCCCCATAGCCTCTGCACCAGTTCCTGCCTCTGGGATCCCACCCTCTTTGGGTTCCTGTTTGACTTCCTTCAGCAAGGAATAGCAATGCTGAGGTGTAAGCCTAATGAACCCTTTCCTCCCCAATTGGCATTATGGTCATGGTGCTTTGCACAGCAAGAGAAAACTTTAGTCTAAGACAGAATGCCACCAACAGTG